GATATTTCACTTGAAAAATAAAAACTTCTCTTGACATGGTCACGTAAAAAACATGATTTTGGGGGTTTACTTCACAACTTTTTTCTAAAAAATGTCGTTTAAGCCCTCAAAATAGCATTTCAATCCCAAAAATCAGTGCAGGCCATTGGCAATGTCGGGGGATGCAGCTCATGCGCGCGGGGCGTGCGTCGTGGGCACCTATGGTGCCCTCCCCTTGGCAGCCTTGATGCTCCGTTTTCAAATGGCCATATCTCTGTCATCCAAACTTCGAATCAGGCGATTCTTGAGTCTAACTTTATTAATTTTTCATTGTCTTTCCCATGGTGTGCACGGTGGCACTCATTTCTATTTTGAAAAGACCATTTTGCCCCTAGGGTTAAACTTGTTCGTTTTTTTTAAAACATCGCTTCCGCATTTGTTTTCCTTTTGGTTTCCGTGACTCATGGGAGGTCACTTGGTGTCTTAGGGATGCGGTACATTTCTAAAGACTTGGTTTCTATTTCGCTTCCGCATTCGAGATCTGTTATTGGATCAAACTTCGGGTCATCATAGGACACATTGGCTTGAAAAACCAAGGCCATCATAGTTTGGCAAGAACGCATGTTTCGCAATTTAACTCAAAAGATTCAACAAAATCAAACTGGGGAAGCACATGCTTCAAAACAGGAAAAGGTAAATGACCTAGTCTATTATGCCATCGCATTAACAGATCTTTATTGACATTGTTATTCCTAACACTAGATTGATTTGCAATATAATAAGAAGTTGGCCTCGTGTTCAGCAAATACAAGGCATTGTCCTCACGTCCACTTCCAATCGTCTTCCCCATATCCAAGTCCTGAAACACACAGTGAGATAGAAAAAAGGTTACACTACAATTCAAGCCTTTTGTAATGTGACTGACAGAAAGGAAGTTATTGGTAAACTTTGGGACATGAAGAATAGAGGATAAGGTAAGATTAGGAAAGCATCAAGTTCAGGCCCAGACAAAGAACTCGGTGGCCCTGAGGAGGTATGATCAGTAGAAGCAGTCTCACGCTCTACAGTATGTGTTGTAGATAACCCCCTAAATGGACTACGCCTTGGCCTAGCATTTGCATGAGCAGGAGTTAAAGTATGGCGACCGTGAAGATTCTAACATGTTTCCCTAGTGTGGCGCGTACGCCCACAGTGATCACACCTCAACTTGCTTTTGTCATCCTACTTCCCTCCTCTTGGAGGATTAGGCTTGTTCCATTGTTGTGTGGTAAGAGCAGACCTCTCAAACAATGGTACTTCTGGCTCAGGCTTAGTGTATACAGGTGCAGACGTAGCCTTCACTCTCCTCAGCTAGGATATATGAAAACACATTTCTAACAAAAGTAGGGGCTAGATACCTGCCTAACACTTGTACCCTGGCATGCTCGTATCTCGGATACAGACCACCCAAGAACTCATAGATTCGATTCCTTTCTACCATAGCATGAAATGCTTTAACATCAGCTGCACATACAGGTATGTAGTCTTGGTAGTGATCTAACTCTTCCCATTTACCACGTAGAGTGTGGTAATATGTAGCAAGAGTTTGGACTTCCTGCTTGAATCTTGAAATATGTTGTTGGAGTTCGTACAATTTTGCAAAATCACCAACCGAGGAATACGTCTCTTCCACAGCCGTCCATAGCTCTTTAGCTGTTTTCAAAAATAGAAACCCTTTGCTGATCTGTGGCTACATTGACTGCAACAACCACGTCATAACTGGTGCATTATTTGCACTCCACTATTTGAATTCAGGATCGCTCTTAGAGGGATACGTGATAGTCCCTTCGATATGGTCGATCATCCTACGACCAATGATATGCATACGAGCAGATTGAGCCCACTCCATCTCATCCAGCCTAATAGTCATAATATAAAGGCCTGGATGGTGATCACTACTACCTCCCAATACTAGAGTCAGACTAAGAGAAGACCCAACTTCTTTTGAAGTGACCTCTGAGCCAGACATTTTATTAAACAGCTTTTGGGTATACAATCCACAGAAACAAAAGTAGCAACAAAATACGTAGAGAACCACCTTTCTAACACACCAACTTCAACTAGAAATATTACCGTCTTCTAAGATGCATAAAAAAACGACCACACGATCACCACACAAACCCTAGAAAGCAACAGGGTATAATCAAATCAAGAGTAAGTGATAAAGAAGAAGAAGAAAAAGAGAAGAAAGCGAATGAGAGAAAGAGAGAGAGAGAGAGAGAGAAAGATGGGGAAAGAGGGAAAGAATGAAAGAAGACTTTCATCCTTCCACCACATTCTATTTATAATAACAAGTTTTAGAAATTACACATAAGCCCCAACATTATATAAGTAATAACAAATAAGCCCCTGACAACAGAGACATTGTTGACTCTTCCATCTACATGTTTTAAACATGTGTATGAAGGGAAATGGTCTGAAGAGACATTGTTGGTTGTTTACAGTTTGAGGAGACATGATTAATTGTTTATGGTCTGAGAAGACATTTTTTATTTGTTAATCAACACTTCATTTGACAGAAAAACATCGCTAATTAGATTTGCACGTGTTAGCAAGACCGTGTTTAAGGATGCATTGTCCAAGTTGGGTATCTCAGACATCCACGCACCAACTTGAGGGGGAGTATTAGTCGAGATATTATAGGCACAAATCATGGATTGTGACTTACCATATTATCTGAGATATAATAGCCACAAATCATGGATTTGACTTTATTTACACATATATCTAGGCATAGAATATGCAATAATTTCATTCAATTTCCTTTATTGTAATATTAACATGTGCTCTTTTTAGTATATAAATATGAGAGTTGTGAATGAGTGTTTAAGACATCTCATTCTAGGCTTTACACAATTCTCTCATTTTTCTTCTATATTATATTTCTACTATATTATATTTCTACTATTTACTCATTTTTGCATATATATAAAGAGTGGCTAGTCTTATTAAGAGTCAGGCTAATTTAAACATATTTTACTTTTTCTCGTAAATATTGTAATGCGTCAGGGTGGAAGCACATCATTTTAGGCAATGCACCATAGTATGTGGCACCCTCAAGGGTGGAAATCACTAGGGTTCTTTGAAAGAGCTTAGCACTTGTCAGCTGCAGTGCAAGTCCTATATTACTATAACAGCTCAAGGGTGCTTAACAACTAAGAGGATAAGAATGTGCCTGAATATAAAGAGGAATCACACCAATTACTTAATCCCGTCTAACAAGGGAAGTTCTGCAAATCTTGGCATAGTTGTCACCTATTACCTAATGAAATGTTCAAAATATAGCCCCAACTAACTTGGCTACAAGTTTTGCAGAGATTATGCCTAGAAGACTCAAGTTGATGAAGTCCATGAGCCTATAGTAGCCAATTACCACAAACCTTGTAAATGTTTTAAGGCATGTAAAATAGCCTACCTAAGAAATGCCACATATTCCATATAAAGCTTACTAGCTCCTAGGAAGACAATATTACCAAGTAAAATCTCTGCCTCACTTAAAACTTTGCACTAAAACACCCAGGCATCTCTACCCTCTTTTAATTTGTTCAATACAAAGTACACTTCCTTAAAATCAACAAGATCTACATATGGTTTTTATAGACTTAGAAAAAGCTTTAGATACAGCCCAAGAGATATAATTTGGTGGGCTTTACTAAGAAAACAAACTACTTGACAAATCGTAAAGAGTATCCAAGATATGCATATGAACACAAAAACTACAGTTTGTACCATGTGTAATGAAACAAGTGAGTTCTCCATAAACATAGGATTACACCAAGGATTAGTCCTAAGCCCATATTTCCTTTCAATAATTTTAGATGAAATAATAAAACACTTCCAAATCGATATCCGTATAATGTTTGCCGATGATATCGTATTATTAGACAACACTAAGGAGAACTTAGTAAGAAAAGTAAAAATGTGGAGAAATGATTTAGATTCAAAGGACTGAGAATTAGACGAGCTAAAACTTATGGAGTATCAATTTAAAAAAACTCGAATCTTGATTACATCATATTAACACTTCAAAACCAAAAGCTTACTCAAAATAACCAATTTCGATATCTAGGATCAATAATACAAAATAATGGTGAGATAGCTAGTGATAAGACTAATAGAATTGAAGTAGGGTGGACAATATGGAGACAAGCTAGTGGCATTTTGTGTGATAAAAGAAGAACACATAAGATTAAAAGGAAAATTATATAGGACCGTTATTAGACCAACTATGGTATATGAGTGTTGGGATTTTAAAAAGAGAGTGCCTTCATCTAGCAGAAATGAGAGTGCTATGGATGATTGGAGTTACTAAAAGGTATAGAGTCACTAATAAAAGTGTAAGAAAAATTAGGAGTGGCACCCATCAACGAGAAAATAGAGAGAGAAAACTTAAATGATTTGGACACATACAATGGAGACCTATAGATGCGCCAGTGTGACAAAGAAGACTAGTTTATGTAGAAGGTAAGAGACAAAGGGAGCAACCAAAAATAACACGGTATGGGGTTGTTAAAAATGAATTTAAAAGGCTAAATATAGATGAAATGGCATGTAATAGAAAGGAATGCAGACAAAGAATTCATATGACTAACCTTATTTATATGAGATTAAGGCAATGATGATGACGATGATGACTTCCTCAAAATCAAGAATGGTGAACCAATTGTTGTGGCCTTGTCATAACTTTTACAATTCACAGTTATCAAAATAATAATAATAATAATACTAATAATAACTGTATAGGATTCACATAATTGTTATTCTTCAATCAATTAAGCCTCATTACGACACCATTAAGCATTGTATCAATTAATGAATTTGACACTCATACTGAAACCAATTCTCCACATAACAAAAACGTGCAAATTATTGAATCTTGTATTGGACACGAAAATGATTAAAGAATTTATTTTTCTAACAAGCAAGGCTAAAAAAAGAAAATAAGGGTATATCAACAATGATAGAAATTTAATTGTGCAAACCTGAACGAGGAGAAACTTTGGTTGACCACGTGGACGATGTAGCTCAATCTGCCAGATGTTTTCATAGGATAGTTCAAGCTTGTAGTCAACAGATCGATAGGATATGAAGAAATACATTTTTCTCAGTCCAAACCCAAATTTCACAGAAACATTTGCACTTTTCCAGAGCACTGAAAACTTATCCCTTGAGACCTGACATCCAAAATGCAGGGTTACAGATTCCATGTTATTTACATAGGTCCTTGGTCTTGGAATGATATCAGACTTTACGTCCCAAGCCTTCAAAAAAGAAGATCCATATCGTAGGCGTTTTTTAGCCAAGGACATGATATGATCAGCATCTTTGTCGCTCGTGAATTGGACTTTAGCACCTCCTCTTCCTTTCTTACACTGCCAAATCTCTATAGCATATACCGTTCCATCACCCGTATAGCACTCTAAAAAACGCTTCACTTCTTCTGCAGGCTCACGTTGCGGGAATCCATGCACGTTAATTGTCTTACCCATCCAGTCTCAGTTATTTATCTGCAGTTTCATTATCAGATCAGATACAGTCAGCAATTGCAAATACATAAGGCTCCACTCTGATAATCAGTGACTGATGTTACAATAGGGAGTATAAAACAAAATATGAGAAACATAAAAATACTTTTTTCCAGAATTATTCACTACCTTCTTCAAAAATCATATACTAAGGTTTCAATTGTGAAGAGAACATTAAGGTTCAACCTTACAAGTTTGAGAACTTTCAGGAGTCTTGAACAATAAAACAATAAGAATATTTGCAGTAAATTATTGTGGCAGCAACTGTACCAACCCTTATGATCAAATTGTGGTAGTAACGTGTACAATTTAGGCACATCAACATCCCCATACGCATTTATAGTTCCTTGAATAATAAACAGTGGCGATAGAGTAATTCAACAGTGGCTGTACTAACATTTCTAATCATATTGTAGATGGAAAGTGTACAATTAATGCATGTCAACATTCCCGTTTCCAGTTATATAGTTTTTTTATTTCTTCCAATGATCCAAAAGAAGTGAGTGGATCCTCTGCAGTACAGCACGTATACTGTACTGCATAGGAACAGGGGCAACAGGGCTGTAGAAAGAAACAACAATATAGAAACAGTCTATACAGTGTTTGAGTTGATACTGAGTCCTTTCCGAGGATCAAGATGCAGGGAAGATGCATTGACAAACACCAATATAGAAAAACATGATTGGGAGCCAAAAAACATGGATACGGACATGGTAAGCGGATACAACATGAGACGGACACGTTCACACCTCAAAACTTAAAAAAGTAGACGCAGACACGACTAGTACACGGAAGTAAAATATATATTTTTATACCCAAATTATATTATATATGACCATTTAGTACTGCATGTTTGTAATATGAAGTTTATAGCTTATAAATAAAAAAATTATAATCAACTATTTCACATCGAAAAAGACATAATAAGGACACTATATGTATTCAATTATACATTTATGTAGATATAAATGTATACACTTCAATTTGATAACTCCTCCCTGTCCTACTCGTATATCCATTCTTTGACCTTCATATTTGCTTCTATAATAGATCAAACTTTATAAAAGTTAAGGTTCATTGATTAAATGTTAATTTTTATTCTCATGTGTCCAAGAAGTGTCGGCCACGTGTCCGAAATTAAGAATTTTATTTTTAAATTTTGGATGTGTCAAAGAATTGTTGGTGTCCAACACAAACACGACTCCTTAGAAGTGTCCGTGCTGCTTAGATTGGGAGCCTCAATCAATTCACTGTCATAAGATCCCCTTATGCCCTCCCCAACTCATTTGTGAAAGCAATCAAAGACATTAAGCTTTTTCAATAAAAGTTGAGGCATTTACTATGAGCCAGAGGCATTAAAAGTAAAGACATTGTGCATGAGTTCCAATGTGTAACCTACCATGTGGTACATTGCTTTTATCATCTAAACATCAGGTATCCAAGCCATGAGAACATGTCTCCACCGAAAAATTATATATATTTATGGGAAAATTCTATATAATAGATAAAAAATAGAAGAAATGAATGAGATTCATATATAAAATATATATTTATGGGAAAATTCTATATAATAGATAAAAAATAGAAGAAATGAATGAGATTCATATATAAATCTCTATTTCCTCCATTGATTTTGAAATTTGACCGTTTTGAACCACCTAGAGAAGCAGAATTAGCTTTTTTGAGTTAATGGATATCTACACGAATCTCTTTTAAAAATAAAAAATAAATAAATAAATAACTTTAGTGATCAACAATTAAAATTATTTTTTTCTTATTGAGATTCATGCAATTTTTATTACTCCTAAACACCATGCAGTGATTATCGAATTATTTCTTCTTTATCTACAACATATTTCCAATTTGATCTGTAAAATCTATCAATTTCACTGCTCTGATCCTTGTATCTAGAGTGCTTAAGTCTTTCTTTTTTTTTTTCTTTTTTTTTTTTCTTTTTTTTTTTTCCCTGCAAGTTAGGGAGAGGAGGACTCAAACACAGGCACACCAACTGGGAGAGCTGGGCGATCTACCAACTATGCCACTGGGTAATACCCAAAGTGCTTTAGCATTAACTGAAGTTGTCATTAGACAAACCTAATCCCCACCAATTTGAGGTTTAGGAAAGAGTATTGGATACATCAATTTGAACATGCTCACTATCCTTACTGCCAGACTGCAAACAAATATTTAACAAATTCCTTTTAAATAGTAGAAAGTAATTAACTCATTGTTATCAATGCAGACCTAAAATGTTGCCTAAGCGATTACACAAACCATTACCTCATGTAACCTAAACTTTGACATTATTTCCACCAAGTGGAAGCCTTCAAATTCATAGCCATATTCATTAGTTGGCAGTCCAAACTTTAAAAGTTGCACCAAGCAATGACCTTCTCTTTTCAATCTTTACGTTTTCCTCATAAAATAAATACTTTGACATGTCTTAAGGAATATGAAGTGAACTTTTAATGTGAATGTCATAATAAATTCAAAACACTACCAAAATATACTTGTATAAAATACAGTAGAAGCAATATATATTATTTTACTTCTTTGAACTAATTAAACATAAAGTTATTATTTCTCTTTTTATTTTTATTTTCTTTTCATGTATTTGAGGTTTAGTATAACAATCTAACTCCAACATTAGCATTATATTTCACATGTCTGAAAGAAATTTAATTGTTACAAAAGATAAATATTTTTTGTTCACATACTCTTCTAGGCTAAGGACCTACTAAAAATCACTATTTTACATCACAATGGCAGTAATAAAGGTTTTCAGGCACCTGCCTGGAAAAACATTCATTCTGGGAATTTATGTTTTAGGACCATATTTTACAGCATAACATAGAATGAAGCCAATAAAGACCTAGTTCACTTATATTAGCCAAGTGAACTAGTGTCTAGCAAAAATCATATAAAACACAAAAGGATTCACTGAATAATAATATGGAGTTCTAATTGTTAATTCAGTTCATCTGGTTAAAGATTAATTATCAATGGAACAAAATCTAAGATTATCAGTGTGACATAATCTTGTAGTTTCAATACCAAGAGTAGGGGATCATAGAATAGGATTTGAAAAAGGTGAAAACATCTTGATATCTTGCAAGAACTGAGCAAACAGTGGTTCCATATGCTAAAAGCTTGCCAGATATATTACACAAAATTGGCTTTTGAATGTTAAGGTTTCTCTTGATCTGTTTGATAGCATTTTCTTTTCCTGACTTCCTGGAATAACATCTTAAAAGGAACAGTAAGAAACACAACCGGGATAAAAACATGGTAGACCATGGTTGGTAAAAGCTAGAATATTTTATGGTGCCTGAAAATAAAGAACACGATAACATTTGAAAATCAGAAGTCAGACGAGGTTGCAACCATTGTAACCAATCAGTCTAGTTGATCAACTAATGATAGTTTGGAAGTTAGAAGTTTAATATTTGCATTTAAATTTTTCATTCCCGATGTTAAAAGAAATGGGTAATTCAAGGCAATTGGAAGCCATAGACTAGATACAAACCTAATCTTTGGTGTTATTTTCACAAATTAGCTGCTTAATCTTCAAATTCACATTATCATGCTTGAAAGCCCACTATAATTCACCAAAATTAATCATGCAATTGATAATTATCAAGTTTGTAAGGACCGGGATTCTATGTAAGATCGATGAGGGGTCCATAGGCTCGGAATCATAGAATCGGATCGACAACTGTAAGATTTTATAATATTATTAGAAAAATGACACAAACTATCCTTTTAAATCAAAATATCTTCAATATAAGTAGAGAATAAAGCTAAACAACCAACATGGTCAAAATCCTAGCAAAATCAATTAGTATTAAAAGATACTAAGCACATGGCAAACACTTGAAATCAATTATACAAAAGCATCAGCATACCAGTCAAACAGAATATCACATAAAAAGTGAAAAAAAAAAAATTTAAAGTAAAGCCTAAACAAATGAAAAAAGGGCACAAAGAAACAGAAAGAAAAATACAATTTAATTGCCGAATTGTTTGAGAAATTTAGTTCAAAAAATTACTTTTTGGTTCAGAAATTAAAATTATAAAAATAAATAAATAAACAAACAACAACAACAACAAAACACAGATAGAAAGCACAGTGGGAAAAAAACAAAGGGCCTGCTTGTTTTTTGTTTCAAAATGGGAAAGGAATAGGCAGGAAAATAGAGTTTTTTCTGTTTCTTGTTTTCAAAAAGAAAGGGAAAGAGAAATTAAGAAGAATAAAGCAAAATAAAGAATTTTTTTTTTTTGAAGTTTTGAACCATACCTTTGAAAGTTAGCTGAATCGTCTCTACCTTTGACCCTTTTTTTTTTTTTTTTTCAATTAGGCTAAAGAGTTTTGGCTTCATATTTAAAAGCATCAAATTTTCTTTGTCCAAAATGCATTGTAGGTCCAAATAAATGAAGAACAAAATAACAATATTTAGTAGGATCCGTAGGATCATGTGATCTATGGGATTCTACGATCCTATTTCCGTATCTACAAATCCTACTGTGATCCTACCTCCAAGCAATTTTCCCTCGATCCCGATTGATTTAGCAATTTGCGTCATAGGATCATAAGATTCTACTACCCTATTTCCGTATCTACAGATCCTACTGTGATCCTACCTCCAAGCGATTTTTCATGCGATCGGAATTGATTTAGCAAATTGCGTCGTAGGATCATAAGATTCTAATCTATCAAAAAGGGATTACCAGGTCCCAAGGACTAATATAAGTTCCTAAGAATACTAATTACAACCAGCAGTTCAAAAAAATTATAAACAAAAATAAAACCTTGGACACAAATATAGATCGAACTATATAGTCAACGGATTTATATTTTGCATCATATTCGAAGTAAAATTTTATGCCTAATAACTACATAGTTAAAGGATGAGTGAGTGTCAATCTAAAGGAATGATATTCACAGTATCAACATCTTCCCCTGGATCTTTCTCTGCCTTGTCCCCTAATTCAAGTTCAGGGCTTTAAAAGCATCAAATCCATTTTATACTTTTATTAAATTTCAAGTTCAAGAAAACGAGTTTTCAACCCAGAAAGTAAAAAGAACCCACTTCACCGATCATATTAGAAATATTTGGCTTAGATGATAAGAAAGCAAAAGAACAGCAAGTTTGACAATCAATCATTTCCTTTTTCTTTACTCCAGTTTTCTCAGCAGCCAAACGGCCTCAAATTAAGAAACCACAATGCATACAGGAAAATGGTCCAGATCACTCTAACCCTCTTCTCTCTGGAAGCAATGATCATGTAATGAACCTAGTCAACTATTGATCAAAGTAAATTCAAGAGTTCACATTCTTACATGTAAGAGAAAATCAAGAAAGAGCAACAATTGATCAAATAAAGTAAATTCAAGGGAAGAAAATAAAGAATCTCACCAGAAAGCGCAGAGGCTTCAACTGCTACTATTTTCACACAAACAAAGACCAGTTGAAGATAGTTCAGTTAATTAATTATATGTGTGTATATATATATAGAGGGACACTTTGATCGTCAATGCCTAGTCAATTTCTCTCTCATTGCTGTTTCTTTATCGTCAATCCCTAGTCAATTCTTCTCTCTCTCTTAGTGGAGAAGAAACAGCTCTCTCTCTCCTCTGCCCCTCTCTCTCATTTGTAGTACTGATTAATAGGAAATAATTGGAAAAGGCTACCATGTTTCGCATGAGCTTCGCGGTAAAGTAGTACTCGCTGATGTTATATTGCTTACGTTGCAACTGTTTTATCATCCAATCAGATCAATTCCATGTTACTCTGGGAACCTTTTTTTTTTTTTTTTTTTTTTTTTTTTTTTTTGGGTCAAATTACACGTTTCGGCTTGTTATTGCTTCAAAATATATATACCAACATATATATAATACGTAGTAATATATATCCATATATTTCATGCATGGGTGCGCGCGTTTGTCGTTTGCTACTTACATCAACTCTCTTGGGTGTCAATTTTATTCGGCCCTTAATTTCCCGAAAAAAAATAAACTTATTCGCCCACTTAATAGAAATGATTTAATTATATTCTAATCAGGAACTCGTTTGCTAATTAGAGTTCAAATTTGTTTCACTCCAAACTCTCTGCTGTTTAATTTGTTTCACTCCAAACTCTGTGCTATTCATTAATTTTATGATATTTTTGAATTTTTAATCATAAAGTCAACAAAATCTATAATTATAATTATTAAATATTTCTCTTTAACAAAATCTATAATTATAATTATTAAATATTTCACTTTATGTATAATTTTATTAAATATATCTGAGTTGATTTGTTTATGATTGTATTTATTAAGTTTAAATTATGGGTCGTAATACTCAGGGAGAAGTGTCTGACCGATTTGCTAGGCAGAAATGAGGTGGCGGTTCAGCTGGCATAAATTAATCATTAACATCATCTTAAGGCCCGCGAATATCCAACCAACAACCAAAACAACAAGGCAGCGTCGATTAATCATCGCCGTCATAGACAGCGTCGATGCCTTTTCTTTCTCTCCCAGCAAGCACTCCTCTTCTGTGGTCTCCTCCTCAACCACCTCCTCCTCTTCGTTCTTCTCCGTCGTCTCCTCAGCCTTTTCCGGTGGGAAAGACCCACTTTCTCTCTCTTCTTTCCTTTCTCTCCCTTCTTAGACTTCTTGCCGTTGTCCAAGTGTTCCTCGAAGGCCTCAATCGCTTGGTGAATGAGCTCACAGGTTCGGTGACGAGTCCCACCGGAACTAGTAGCTCGTGTAGCAGTTAAAACATCCACAATCGAAGACCGGAGACTTGCGGGCGTCAGATTTGTTGGTCGATTTCTTCTTCTTGTCATCGGCGCTGATCGAAGAAGGGTTCAAGGCGGACATCATCATCAACCTAGTAATCATGTAGTCTTCTATAAAGATAACCGAAGCTAGAGAGAGAATCGCAGTGGCGAGGAACTTCAACACAGATAAAGCCTCTCTGTTTGCCACGAAGTGAGAGGGCACAGATGATGATGAAGATACAGGTGGAGATGGGTATACTTTACCTATGTTTCTCATCTTCATGATTTTCTTGTGTTGAGTAAAGGGAATAGTTGCTAATTTGTGGTGGGTTCTATGTGCTGTTTCAGATGGATGAAGAGGAGAGAGACTGGGGCCCATTCTTTTTGCTAGCTAGACGCCATATAGGAATCTGCCTAACAAATCGGTCAAATTCATCGGCGAAAATATCATTTTTCTTAAATTATAAACAATGATCAGACTCAAGTAACCAGTCTGCCTCTCTTCCTTTGTGTAATTATTGTTCGAAACGTGTTTTAAAATATATAGTTATTTTTATATAGATTTTTAAAATATTCTTGATATATTTATTTCTTATTTTATAACACAATCAACAAGTTGCTTAGTTGGTAGATGAAGATTATGAGTTTTATTTTGCACAAAAGGTCTCGGGTTCGTGTATTGTCTGATCTATCGAGACTCTCTGGGCCATTCAACATGGGAAGTGGGACGACCTTTGGGCTTATCGATTAAATGCAACATTTAGTGCACCCATAAGTTGGAGCCCTATAAAAGGGTTTGAGGTCCTATAAAAGGGTTTGAGGTGAGCCCATTAGAAGTGTGCCAGACTTGGGAGAGAAGTCTTAGAGAGAAGAGAATTCCGATGAGAGGGTGAGAAATTAGATAAATACCAATGAGGATCCTGGCAACAAGCCCAGATTCCAACTGCAATGCTTTGGATTTTTTTTTAATTTATTTTTTGGCCTTTTTTTTTTTTGTATTTTTGCATTCATTATTTTCGAGTCTCGTTTCGTGTGCCATGTGAATGCATGGAAATGACGAGAGCCAAAGTGTAAGATCATTAGAGGGCATCATTATTATATTTCCGATGGATTGTTACATTAAAGTTTCTAGGAGGATAAGGCAATTAGTTATAAACATTCGGGGTTAAGTGATGTAAATAGTGAAAAGTTAAGAGAGGACTATATATAAATGTTTAGCAACCTATGGACCACTATTCACCTTTTTCTTCTTTACACTTTCTTTCTATATTTATCTATGTATCGTCCACCATGTACATGCATGGAAGAGCTTGGATTTGGAGCCCTTAACCTTTGATTTTGAGGGTTCCCATGAAGAAAAAGTTCTTCCCATTCTTCTCCTTTTCACAACCATGGAAGAAAATTATATATTCAAGCTACTTTGAAATTTCGAGTTTCTTGGAAGTTGGAATTGAAGAAGGGGCTAGTTAGGAAAGTTGTATAGCATGTCTTGATCTACAAGATGATGTGATTTTGTAGGCCATTGGACCATCGTGGATTTTCGACCTAAGCATGGGTTTGGGCTTTTGGGGTGGCTTCAAGAGGAAAATATGTTCCCCTTATCTTCCTCTTCATTTTGAAGGGCCCTAACCTCCAAATTGATGGAGTTTCATGTGGAGCCAAGCTTAGGGTTTTGCTCTTCAAGATGTAGGGGTGTTTAACCTATCATACTTTGCCTTTTATTGAGTTCTCTTGCTTTGATTTTCACACCAAGCATGTTTTAAATGATAATATCTGAGTAGAAATGTTAGCTATGTAATTATGTGAAGAAAATATGTTCAAATGTTGGTTTGTATATCTGGGTGCTAAATTGTTTAAAGAGCATGTTATGTGTAGAAATTGTTATTTTGAGAATGCATAGATGGCTTTGATGACATTGCATTGATGACAAGCATGTTTGGTTGATTGATAGAAGCATAAAGCATGCCAATGTTGATTAAATATGTAATGCTCCCAATTCGTTCATTTAATGCTTATTCACATGCTTGTATTATAATGACCCGAAAATTAATCACCCAACAATTACATTAAACATCCTCGGTATACATACATTAACCATAAAAATACGTGTCCAAAGTAACTCTCCAAATAGGCAAAATAGATCAGCAACACAAGCTCCTCTACATTCTTTCCATTTCCTGAAAATGTTAAGAAAGGGGTGAGCAACACTTGCCCAGTAGAGAGTGGCTAAAACACACCTCCTATAACTACGTGAGAAACACAAACAAAGAAGAGAGATAAAGGAGTAGGGATCATACTTTGAAAGAGAAAACCTTGTTTCATCATATGAGTACCGTAATATAAAAAAAGAAAAGAAAAAAGAAGACGATAGAAATAATAATATGTATTTTGGTAGGTTGTGTTTTTAATGGTGGGTGGTGGTTGTGGGGTGGAGGTTTTAGTGGTAAGTGGAAAGAGAGAAAGAAAGATGGCATCGAATATGGGTAATGCGGTGGCGCGGATGTGGCAATGATGCAAGAAGGAAGGGTGAGGATCATTTTACCTATTTAAAGGGTAGTTTGGTCCTAGAAAAATGAATTTTAAAGATTAAAAAAGTAATTCCATATTTCAAATAGGTCAGGGGTAGCAATGTCAAGTCACCATGTGTGGTGACTATTAGGGGTGTCTTTGTTAATTTTATTAAACCTGAGGGGGTGTCATTATTTAGAAATGAGTCAATTTGTATATGGTTGTCAATAGGTAAACGTCAGGGCGTGTCGTTATAAATAACCCTATTATTTTATTTAGTTTCTTAACTTTAGAGGAAATAATGCGTTTAGATAACTATAGCAAAACACATTTCAACAGATCAAAAACTGAATCAAGGTCCCTTGCAACAAAACATCCTTGCGTCACTTGTCTGATACGATATGATATTATACTTTTTATTATACTTTTTTTTAATAATCATTACTCATTTTGATCCAAAATTAATTTCCATCTTTTTATTTTGGGATGTTTCAAAATACATGTTTCATTTTAAAAATTGATGTATTATTTTTTATAACATTCTCAATATATCATTTTTACTAAACAATGCACTAATTACGAAGTATTATTTTATCTTTTAACAAGAATACATTTGTAAATTCATTGTTATCATTACAATAAAAAATTATATTAAAAATATACTACAAAAAAAAAAAAAAAAAATTTAATTCTTGGATTACGCAAGAATTTTGAAACAGAAGAAGTACCACATATTATCTCAATTTTGTGAGCTTGAAAAGGACATTCTCTTTCCAAACAACTCAATGTATTAGTTTTTCTCATCTAATTGGAGAACCAAACCACATAAACAATTTTTCTTATTTATTTACTTCAAATTCTCTCCCTTTTTCTTTTTTTATTTTAATAAAAAGTAAGATTTTTATTTCCCTTCAAATAAACCTTATTAACCATAAATAAAGCTAGAAAGGATTTAGACAGCCCCCCCCCCCCCCACATCTTCTTTATGACCAAGAGTCCCCCCCCCCCCCCCACACACACACACACACACACATCTTCTTTAATAAAGCAATTCCTGACCAAGAGTGTTTACATTAGTTTAATGAATGCTAAAGGCATTCCATAACATGGGGTTGATCATTGATGCTTTCCGCTTTATTGGACTTCTTTTGCCATTTTCCAAAGCTTCCGTACACTACCATTGAGGATGATTTGTTGCCAAAGTCAAGCACAAATTCTTTATTTTCCTGCTTTTGTCGTTATTACTTTTAATAATAGGCATTGTGGAGACCAAGGTTCATTATCTAATCCCCACCGAAAGAATCCATACATATCTCAACCTGCTACTCAGTGATATTGGATTTTTTTTTTTCAGTTAGCACAAGAAATTTACCTAAGCAGGGCTCTTTCGAGACCCACTTTAAGTTACAAATTTAGAGGTGCAGAGTCAAACCCCAAAGATACACTAGGTAAGTCAGGGGTAATAATGGGATTGGCAGGGATCGAACACTGACCTAATGTGAGCCAATGCCAAACACCTACTAACTGAGCCAAGCCCCTGAGGGCAAGTGATATTGGATTGCATCTTTGTTGCGGTGTTTTAAATGTTGTACTATATTGAATGGATTTTAATTTTCACACGTGCAATATTCAAATTTGCGTGAGCTGAGAACGTCTCATTTGATGCTATTTATAGCACCTTAAAATTGTATCTTCTTGTATATATATATATATATTTTACCTAGCAAACAAATAACTGCAGCTAAATCAAAACAAACGGTCCTTGATCACTAAATCAAGAATATCACCAAAAATATGAACAAGAATAATATCATTTTGAATGTGTTGGCGTGAAAGTTGGACAAGAACATTAGGATCCCATTACTATGTCAAGGACATGACTAAGGCCATAAAAGAAGAACCGCCCAAGGTGAAATTGACCCATTTCGAAGGACCATCCGACCTATTCTCATACTTAAATGAATTCACCTTTTCTCTAAAGAGAAGAGATCTTTCATTAATTCAAAAAGACATAATATCTTTATCTTTATCTTAAAAAGAATATTTTTTTTAGATGAGTCATAATTTTTTAAAAGAATTATTTATTTTGAGACAGAGAATAACAATTTAGCTGTACTAATTCTCCCGTTTTAAAGTAGGAAGGTTCCATTAATTATAACGTTTGTTTCTGTTTGGGCCAATTGACCCAGTCCACTCACTTCAGACAAGAAAAAATATAGTAGTACTATATCTGCACCAATATTCAAGAACTTAGCACCCAAGCAATGAATGGAGATTGGATAGTACACTCACTGGTCCCATTCGCCAATTCTATTCACTATCATATCCACATGGTCCCCTCAGTGATGATGGGAAAAGTTACTATAGCATTCACATGTTAGAAAAAGAAATATATATATATATATAATAAAATCATGGGGAGGCCAATGGCCATGAGTTTGTTATTTACTTCTCGAGTTTGAGTTTTTGTGAAGATAATTTATTGTTAAATTAAAAACTAAATAAATAAATTTGTCTGTGAGCAGTCACCGAAATATTGAATCCAAATTGAGAGAGCTAAGCGATTTCTTATCTGATTTCAGTTCAAACAATTCCATTCAAGAATTATTATTCTATAAATATTATAATCATGTTTGTTTGTAGTACTATATAGATAAGTTTTAATAACCTTAAAAAATGCTATAAAAGTATCTATATTTAATAGAATTAAGTACAAAAAAATATCCATATACTATATTTATAATATATATTGTACTCTTCCTATGCAAAAAACACTCCTAAATTATGAAATTTGTACAAATAAATTTTATTTATTTAAATTGGACTAAAATACCTTAGCAACACATTTTATAATATATATATAATTTGTGA